GAACTGTGTGTATTTACATCTTGTATCCCTACGCCTTTTATCGTTTGTGCCTTCCACTCCTGTAATGGCCCTGTGATAGGGCTAACAGTATCAATAAATAAATAAATAATATTTCTGTTTTACCAACACTTTTTTTTATTAAAGGAAAACTGAGTTCATCGTCATTATATAAATGTTCATAATGCCATGGTTCATTTACATACCCTTTCATTAAATGAATATTGATTTGTTTGCTTTTGTTTATATCTAGTTTAATTTTCTAATTCACCTTGATAAACCATTCATCAAAATCCTGTAATCAAATAGTTATTTTTAATCAATATGTTGCATATACATAAACAATGCTTTAATAGTACCTGTAGGTTTTGCTTATTTCTTGGTTTGATAGAATAACACTTCTGCACTGTTTGGTGCATCAAAAGCTGTCTGTCTTAATGAAAAGTACCTATGACAGAAGCTCTAAATTTTCCTGTGTGGTGAAAATCAAGGTTCTCCCTTCATTTGTGCCTGTTCTGTCCAACCACAGGAACTGTTCTCCATCACATGTCGTTGCAAATGTCCAGTTGAGGACAAAGCTCTCGTGGGAGCCCGGTTCTTCTGGCAGCTGACGTCTTCGTGCCCTCCTCACCCTTTGGCGAAGGCTATTGCCAGAGGGCAAGGAGGCTCTTGATTGAGGTGCCACTGACTGCCGTACAGTCTGGAAAAATTAATTATTTTGCTGTATTTAAGTTATTGCACAAAGTAGTTGTGGTGTTCAAGACGGACAGCACATGGGAGTTAAACTATATTTCTCGATGTGCGCGGTCTATTCAGGCGAGTAAGTTAACTCTTTTGAGTGCTCTTCTTCCCGCGCATATATGCACTGTGGCGAATTGACAGCCGCAGAACAGACGTCAATAGCTTTTTTTTATCGGTTTGCTGGAGTGCACTTGTGTTTTTGGAAGAAAAGCGTTCCTTAAAGTCACGTCGAATGTGTTGGTAATACCCAGTCAACGCAATGGCATCCTGAGGATGTACTGTGGATGTCGAGTCCAGGATGATGGGTAGTCCCGAGGACATCTTGAAAGAGTCTCGAATGATCCTCAAATGATCTTTTTGTCCAGACCCATCATGTCCTGAGAACATCCTGAGCTGTCAGTCCTAAGGACTGCATGGGGACCTTTCTGGGATAAAGGCACCCTACTGGTTCAGTCAATGCATATCGTCAAGGAAGCGTTTGATCATTAATGAAGTTCAGAAATACCATACAGGGTGTTCCACGAAAGGTGGACAAATTCGATATTGCAAAAACTAAGCGTCGCAACAAAAAAAAAGACTTGTGTCATTTTCGTCCTGGGCCAGGGGCCTATTTAGGAGCATTAGAGTTTGGGATAATTAGATTGCTAATTTTTTTGCATAATTAACTCTTTAATATTGGGCATGGTTTCAATGAAAACATTGCTCAGCATCATCGAAAGACACTAAATCGACAAATTGCAGAACGATAGAATGCACGCGGAGCATTTTACGGCTTTCTGAAAAACAGCACAAATTCAACGGGCTTTTAAGTTCCGGTTTGCTATCAGAGCGCATCTCGGCCCTGATGGCACCGCGCCCCGTGTAGAAATAGTGCAACCAACCTTTGCTGCGCTGTCATTGCCCGACGCAGCAGAGGCTGGTTGCACTATTACTCCACGGGGCGCAGTGCCGTCTAGCCCGAGATGCACTCTGATAGCAAACCGGAACTTAAAAGCCCGTCGAATTTGTGCTGTTTTTCAGAAAGCCGTAGAATGCTGTGCATGCATTCTATCGTTCTGAATTTGTTGATTTAGTGTTTTTCGATGATGCTGAGCAATTTTTTAATTGAAACCATGCCCAATATTAAAAGGTTAATTACGCAAAAAAATTAGCAATCTAATTATCCCGGACTCTAATAATTTTCTTAAATAGGCCCCTGGCCCAGGACGAAAATAATGTTGTTTCTTATTGCGACGCATAGTTTTCACAATATCGAATTTGTGCACCTTTCGTGAAACACCCTGTATATATACAGGGTGCCTCAGATAACATGCAGCGAATTTCATGAAATAATGAAACACTAGACGGATAAAAGCAACTATATGATGATGCAGACATCTTCAGAAAATGTCCCTATTTATTTCATTGTGGTTAACTAATTAGGTAAAATTAATTGATAAACCTTTTATTTATTGGTCTAGGAGCTCAAGTGATATTTGAAATTTTAGAATGTCATGAGAAATGATTGATTATGATTTTTACAACAGTGTGTGCTTTGACTATACTTCGTTTCAGCTTCCGTCCGAGCGCAGCCAAAGGCTGAGGGACGGCTCGCAACTTTGAGAAGAGCATTCCTACGCACCACAAAGTAGTTCGCAAAAGTATTGTTTTTTTAAATAACTGTTTTGTGCATAAACATTGCACAATATTCCAGATGTGTACTGCTAAGAATAATTTGCAACTAAAGAAAATAAATATCTGAAGTTTGTTTTTATGATTTTATGTAAATGCATGTGGTTTGGTGAAAACACGTACATCCGCTGGCAACACGGCTTCAGTGCTCGGTTTCTCTGAGTGATTTCGTTCCCTTAATGGTCGAATCATGTGCTTCGCTGCTTTCCACACAGAGTCGCTTCAAAGCGTCCTTTCGCAAAGGCACGTTTCGGCGTCAGGCGCGAGAGGTCGTGATCGAATGTCTACTTTCAGATTCGGCAGGAGACTCCGGCCGTGTTGTACCGCGAATGCGTTGTAAACAAGAAAAGCGTCTGGGCCACTAAAATTCACTGATACGCGGCGAAATCAGGGCACCCCCTTACCTGCCGATCACATTGAACGCCGAGAAGCTGGTGGAAAGGACTGCGTTTCGAGCCCTGGTATATCTAGACAATACAAGGAAACATCAACGGCCGGGTCATATCGGGCAGCTTGCAATGTGTACTTACATCTTGAAACTATATGCCGAAAAGGTGGAAAGCTCGCGGACACTGACGCCAGCGGCCAGCCTACGTACTGACATCCCCTGTGACTAAATTTCAGAACGTGAAAAGGCACTTTTTAAACCTGCAGCAGACGATACCGTTGATACGTCCGTAACAGACGAAATACTCGGCGAGCGCTGGCGGCGCAGACGACCAGCGGCGCACCGGAGTGATACAAAAGTGCAGGCGAGATCGCGTGACCTATTGCCGGCGTGTGATTGGCTCCGGCCACACGTAGCTTTGGCTGCGCTCGGACGGAAGCTGAAACGAAGTATAGTCTTCTTTGAAAAGCAAGAAAAAACACCCATGAACCAAGGCACACAGATTGCTATCGCAAGGTGGGTGGTCAAAGGGCATTTTAAAATTCCTGAGGTATTTTTTGTTTTGTAAACAGGACTACAGAAACCGCACCTTGTTTTAAACAGTATAATTGTAGCTTTCTCCTGATGCTCTACAACATTGCTAATCACAGTTCAGCTCTTAAACCAATATTTAAAGAGCTGACTTAATTAATTTTACAGAATTAGTCACAACGAAAAATATAGTGACAAATTTTGACACGACTGCTAAGAGCATACAGCTGGTTTCATTCACCTGGGGTGCTTATTCTTTTTAATGTTTGCTGCATGTGATTAGAGCACCGTGTATTCAAAGTACCATTAGGCGATGCTTGATAGCTGACCGGCCTTTTTGGGGTCACCCATGCAAATTCAGAACTGGCTTGCGATGGATGCTGCGCAGGCTCCTTCAAAACCATGAAACCAACACACACAAAAAATTAGAATTATTTTAACAGAAGAGTAGGCAGAAAGTACCAGCCAAAATATTTATTGAATAGAACAAGCAAAAACAGCACTCTGAATCAATTAAAGGCCAAACTTCAAATTTTTGTCCTAAAAAATAAAAAAAAATACCTAAGAAGGTAATTTCCTCTCAAAACAAAAGTTCCTAGCACGCTAGTGGACCCTTCAAAAATCCCGGGCCATGTTTCCCATCTGGGCTCCTCCTTTCGGTTATTGAGGGACGTCATGGGAAAGCCTTGAGGAATGACAGCGACAAGGCTTCCTGTGACGTCCCTAGATAAATGAAAGGAGGAGCCCAGACGAGAAACGAAGACTGGGGCTTTTAAAGGGCCTGTTAGCGTGCTAGAATGCTTCTTTCGAGATTTTTCTTTCTATTTTTTCTTATTTAGACAAAGAAAGTATGAATTTGGGCTTGTCAGGGCTCCTAAGCAAAATGGCTGGAAACAATAAAAATCAAACAAGACGAGGGTACTAAAATTGAAAAATAAAATAACGAAATGATAATCACTTCTCGTGTTGTGCAATTCTGGCTGCTGGTCTAACAAGTTATCATTTAGCTGTAGACAAGAGGCATTCATTATAAATAATGAGAAAAAAAATATTAGATAAAGATACTGGAATTTGAACACTAAAATAACTGGAAATAATAATGACAAACTAACAAAACTTGTTCTTTGGTGTTATTGTGGCTGCGGGTCAAACAAGTATTACCTGAAGATGGGCTTGAAGATATAAAATAAAGCATGAACTAAAGAAGGTGCACACTGTACATGGATATAGATGCTCATAAAAAGTTAGGGGATGTTGCCAAGACCAGATTCCTCAAGCTTCCTGAGCTTCTCCGCCGCGTGTCGTAGCCACGTCTTGATTACCTCTTCAATGTCGTGACGTGTCGTTGTGATACGGGGGTTTCTTTTTACAGCTTCTGAAAAGGTGTAAGGTTTGCTATTACTAGTCACCCAAAACCCAGAGTGCTAGCTATAGGGCAAAATCGCAACAATGGCATGAGTATGCTCATCCCTTCCTTGAGGCGATTGAGGAATTATTAGAAATACTTTCATTAATATAGCCAGCCAACTGATCACACTGTGAAACTGTTGTGCACTTTCAGAGCATATATTAGATATTTATTGGTTATTTAGGGGAAAAAAAACACTACCTCCAAACACCATTCCTTCAAAAAAGCATTGCCATAATGTGTTGTGTACTTATGGTAAATGAGCTCAACACACTGCAGCTGTTGGAATTTCGCCTTGCCCTTTTGCCCTTTCCAGCTGAAATTCACCGCAATGTTTTGGGTCATTAGAGCTTCCAGCAGTCGGCGAGTAGTGGCCCCTAGAGTCTTCCCTCCGAGTCCCACGAACAAATTTACTTGTGTCACAGAAAAACAGGTTTATATACAGTAAAACCTCGTTATAACAAAGTTGAAGGAGCGGTCGTAATTATTTCGTTATAACCATTAGTTTGTTATAGCCAATGTCCATTTCTTCCCACTATTAGCAAGCAAGGGGAATTATGATTGCTTTGTTATATCCATTAGTTTGTTATATCCCGTTTTGTTATAACGAGGTTTTACTGTAAATACCAGGCACTTCCATGGCATCTAGCCAAATGCTCCATAATTCCACTTACCAGCTTTTTTTCTCATGGCTTCGCTAGCCTGTAGTTGGCACTTAGATTCCATGAAGGTGTCATAGCTTGCGGGTGGCTCCTGAACGGGGAAGTTGTCGTCATCGTCCTCCTTGTGCTTGTTCACAGCTTCTAACACAGTGCCCATCAGGGCAGTCAGGTTATCAAGCCTCAGCCAGATCATGTGTAGAATTTCCAAGGTGTGCCGCCTGAAACCTGAACCATCAACAGGAGCATTGTATAAAATTGTTAAAACCAGCTATCAAAGGCAATCCGAAAGGTTTTATACCTTCAGGCTCAGGTTCCTTTTATACAGTTTTACTGGCAACATTACAGCAAGGAGGTGTAGAGCTGGAGGTTGTACTGGATTGCTTAAATGCTGCACAAAAATACACAGTTTCACTGAAAACAAATCAATGACAAATAAGTGACCTCGGGACCGAACAGTCTTAAAACCCTTAGAGGTCGTGAGCACTTATTCTATTTGCTACTGTTCCAGTCAGGAACTATTTTGTGTGTTTTGGACACTGCACAGGAAGGGCACTCATGTGAACAAACACATAGCAAGTAATTTACCCAGTATTTTTTTTTTGATTCCCGAGGTTTATAAAGGTACTTCTAAGCACAAAGGTGTTATTTCTTTTCCTATGCTACTAGTTTTTCATAGACAGCATCACAGTGGTTTTCACTAGAATCGCTAGAGCTTGCTTGTTACGATGAGTTTGAATAGGTCTCAATTAGCGCAACACTCACTGACACGTCCGGCAAGCTTTCGGCGAAAGAGGCGACCTGCAGCACTGTCGGAAGCCGCCATTATGCAACAAAGAAGACATTGCACTATTATAAACACAATTAAGCTTGAGCAGATACTCTTGGCTAGCCTCAGACCGTGCCGACGCTTCACTACGAGACATAGTTTCCTCATTCTACGCTGCAAGTGAATATTGAATAGTAATTAAAAGTTACTTACCTAATTCGCACATCTCCTCGAAAAGGTGCCTGGCTTCTTTCTTGCGCAAATAACTTCCCGCCTCCCTTTTCTTTCGTGGCGGCGTCGGCGGCGTGCGGTTCGTAGTGCGGCCATTGCAGAGAGCGGATTCGGCCGTTGCTTCGGCGGCAGAGTGTATTCTACAGCAAAATCTTTAAATACTATAATCCACTTGGGATTTTATGTTGATTTTATGTCCGACTTCATTTTTGTGGTTTTGTTTTAAATATGTCTTGAACGTTTTGGCATGTGGGTCAAGCTCTAAAGCAAAAGCCGCATTGCGACGACATCACGCAATTGCTATCGCGGTATGAACTTGGCGCGCGCTGGTCGGCGGTTTAAATTGTTTTAACCTTTTTAGCAGCATTTTGGCTTTGCAGTGGTTCCTTTTTTTTCATATTTGATCCCGAAAGCTTGTTCGAAGAACCTGCAAGGCATTGCTCGAATTTAGCAGAACGGGATGCAAGGACCTTCTGAGGATATCCTTAGGACGCCACGTTGATGACGAATTCCGGATAGCCCGTAGGATTTATCCTGCGGACATTCCATGGACTACTTTTAGTGGACGAGGATGATAGGACCTTTTGAGGATGTCCTCAGGATGTTGTGTGTTGACTGGGTAGGAATCTCACATCGGGGAAGGCAACAGTACCTTGGGCTGAGATGTGCACACTAGATATCAGGAAATAGACACTCGGAGTTTTGAAGAAGTTGCCTACCTCCGATTGCAGTTGTAGCAACGACGTAACCTCAGGCGGTGGCGCAGACGGCTGTCGGCAGAAGCCCGGTGCTGTCATACCTTGTGGTGTTGCTCTTTGGAGGTCCGAGTAGGCTGGCTCATGCTTCCTGGCTCCCATGTTGTGATGGCTGAGTGTTGAATCCCAGCAGCGGATGTGACGGCATAATCCACATATTCTGTTTGGCCATTTTGCTTGCTTGGGTTAGATGCTGGAGTGTGTCGACTCGTTCCAGGACGACTCGTTCCAGGACGACTCGTTCCAGGACGACTCGTTCCAGGACGACTCGTTCCAGGACAACTCATTCCAGCAGTTCTGGCCTCAGGCCGCAAGTCAGCTATTGGAGATTTTCCTCCTCTGTCATGGCCTCCTTCACTCGAGCGCAGACCTGAAGTACATCATAGAAATACTGTTCCGGTAGCTCCGATGGCAGCTGAAACCGCTGGCTGAGCTGCAGATGAGCCCACTCCCGCATGCTGCGATTCCCAGAGGTCTCCATGAGCGCTGCCTTCCACGTTTTTCAGGTAGTTGGTGCGTTGGTCCCTCGGAGTGTCATGGTGTACCATTTTCGGGCATTTCCATCAAGAGCAACTCACAGGTACTGCTCCACGGCGTGTCCCGTCCCAACCCTTAACCCTCTAGAGCCAAATTTATTTTTCAGTTTATTACAAAATATATTTTTGCGGAAATGTGGTGCTTAAGGTGCTCTCAAAAAGATAGAAGCATTGTGAGTTGTGACGGGTACCCTATTTGGCTAAAAGAGGTATGTCGCAAATTCGCAACAACAGGCCATGAAGTCAAAAAATTTACTGACGCCATGTAAATAAAATTAATTTTTTTTTGTTCAATTTTATATGTGTAGTAAAAAGGTCTCCAAAGGAGTGAAACACAATTTTGTTCATTGTCTTCCCACAACAAACAAGCACAGTGCAGAAAACATCTGGTTTCTACTTTATGGCTGATGGAAATTAAAGAAGCAGTTGGTGTTCTTGTTGAGGCGAAGATGTGCGTTGCATTTGCTGTACATTATGTTGGTATGCCCCTTGCAACCAGGTTTCCTGCACCGCTGCCTTGTGTCTTTGACAACCGGCCAACGTCCTGTGCTGTCCGCGCAAACGTCCTCGTCGGGAATGAGGCTCGTGGTTCCTCGTCGCTTGTTCACTTCGAGTTGAGCTTGAAGAGAGCCGGAGGGTTGTCTCCGTTACTTTGAGGAGAGGTCATTTCCTTACTTGCAGAGCGCTTCTGCAATTCCAAGCCGGAATTTCAGTAGGTCTCTCTGCTTATTCTTTGGTATGCCCAGTGACTGACAGTCTCGTTGGTAGAGGAGCCAGCTCACAACAATCGCCATGTCCAAAAAGTGAAAAAAAAAGCTTGAGGTAAAACTTTTTTGACCTCAACTGGATCCGATAGTATGATATCAGTGCATCAAGGAGATGAACGCCTCCCATGTACTCGTTGTACGTCACAACTGTTCTAGGACACTCAACCTGAACAGACTTCTTTTCACGCCTATCCCACCTCATGATTGTAAAGACGGGTTGTGCACCGGCAAAGGTACTCGCGGTGGTCACCGATCGGTTGTTGTACCACTTGACAATGATCACCGTCTGGTTATCCACCAGTGCCTGGTTCTTTTCTTCACTGCCTCATCCTCTTTTGCGGAGTTCTGTGTCCGAGGCCATAATAAAACCCTGCAGTCGATTCGCACGCACAGTACCAAGGGCCTATATGCCTCTTTGTGCCAAACTTATGAAAAGCTTCAGAGATATGAACCAATTGTCAAAGTATAGAAGGTGGCCCAGTTGAGGCTGCACGCACTGAGCGAGCTTTATGACGACGTTACCACTGGCCCCAATGTCAGGAAACCCCGGCACTTGATCTGTGTGGCCTGTGTACACGTCAAAAGAGTGTACAACACCGCTGGAGTGACAAAGTATGAATATCTTGTAACCCCACTTGTGAGGCTTCTTGGGGAGGTATTGCTTGATGCTGGAGTGCCCTTTGAATGGTACTATCTGTTCGTCCACACAGAGACATTGTTCCTGAGGAATCTACTCGAATTTCGGGAGCAGCATCTCGAGAGGCGGGCGAATCTTGAACAGTCTATCCTTCGGTGAGCTGTCGGCTGGTGGCATGCTGAGGTTGTCATTGAAGTGCAGCGAGGGTTTGATCTCCTCCAGGCTTGTACAAGATACTCACTAAAAGTATTTAAGGGGGGATGGTAGGGTAAATGGGTCATCTTGGTTACAGCTTTGTGTCTCAAAAGCTATTGCATATTTTCACTTGAAATTTTATGAGCTGAATACAATGAAAGCTCGTTAGTTCGAACCACATGGGGAAGCTGCTTCAGTTCGAACTAACGAAAGTTCGAACTAACGAAAGTGAAGAACCACAGTACACTCACTGCGGTTTGGAAGCAGTAGGGCATGTCAGCAATTTAATGCTTCAAAAAGTCTGTGATCATAGTCTGCCTTTTTTCTTTGAAGGCGACAGCAAGCACTTTTGCTCTAACGAGTGAATGTAACGGAAGGCCTCCTCTGCTCCTTCTTCAAAACTGAAGAAGAGACGGGCGGCATTCAATCCAGCCATGATCTCCGCAGCGGAGGGCTGCACTGGTGCTTCGTCTTCCTCCTCCTCCTCGTCACTGGCAGCGACAGGTTCAGCGCTTCTGACCTGAGAAATGATGTCCTCATCCGTCAGCGCACCACACACCACTGCATTCGCGTCCACATCGACATAGTCCGCAAATGAGATGTCGTCCAAAACATCCGCGACGACGCCATCTTCGAGCGCAGGTGGCTGGTCTCCTCCTTGCAGAGCTTGCGCTTGTGCGCCAAAGTCGCAGTGGCGATAGCAATTTGCTATCGTAACCGCAGTTACCTGCTCGCAAGCATGCACAAGCATGTGTAGCGCACTTAGGAGCGTCAACTGATATAAGGACAGAACGAGCGGGTTGGTATGGATTGTAGAGTTCGGGTCGTCCCAAAGCGGAGAGAAAGGACGAGGAAAATGTGCGTGTAAACTCTAACTATATTTTATTTTCAACTTGAACGGGAGGACCGATCGTGGTCCCCACACCTGTGCCGGATGGACAGCATCTGGGTTCGACTCGTCGGGGTCCCTTTCTTCTTTCTTTTCCCCGACGATGTCCTTTCCGGTCCTTCTTGCAACACGTCTCTCCGTCCTGGCGGCTCTCCTTGTTTCTCAAAGGGAGGCAGGCCGGGGAGAGATATCCGATTCCCAATAGTGCTTGCCGCTTCCGTCTCGTGTCAACTTCTTCTCGTCTGAGAAACCGCCTTGGCAGGTGGCTACGACTACACCGATGTCGCCACAGTACTCCCCCCCCCCCCCCCCCAGTGAGCGGGCGAGCGTTTGAGTGCCGTTAGGGCCCGTGGGGCGTCTTGTAGGGTGAACGGAGGAGGGGAGCTTTCGGTGTCGAATGGTCTGTGATGCCAAGTCGTGCTGGCCAGCGGACGCGGCGGCCGGAACGTGTTCGGCTGTCTGGCCTTGCCTGCGGAGCGCCAGCGCACGAGCTGTCGGCAGGAGGGAGAGTGTCTGATGAGGGCGATGTTCTTTCCGGCGGGGGTGTAACAGGAGCCGGCGTGGCAGATGGGGCGCTATCAAGA